GGGAAAGACCCAAGGCCAATATCCCCTTTCAGAACCGTTGGACTCCTCGTGCACCGAATGGTGGCGCCTCACCCTCTGGGCGCCCTCACCAGAGAAGGAGAGAGAAAGTGCTGCCCTCATGGATGCAAAAGCCGGAAAGTCCCCACCCTACATGTTAGAACCTCATAGATGAATGTAGACGGGTGATTGTGCCAACCAACCGGAGTTGTCAGAGCTCCAGGAGCTGCACTCTTTTGTTCTCTTTTGCACTTTGAGATTTTGTGTGATAGGTGCCATGTCACCGTGTGTCCGTTTTATCAGCTACCAAGACAACCCCGCAGCTTCATGTTTGTCAGTCCCTGTTTATTGACTCAACAGTCAACAGTATTCAAACAGAGACAGCCAATGGTATGCAGGAGTCATGCAACAACTTGTTTCTCGGGCTTGCTTCAGGTATTGTTCAGAGATTGTGTGCTTCCATGTTCCGACTGGTTGTTGTTGGTTTGTTGCTGCTCTTGCTGTTGTCCCTTTGAGTTGTTGCTGCTGTTGTTAGGCAAGCTTCAGCACATCAGCGGAATTGTGAGCACATCCTGAGGTCACAAGATCACGACCATTGATCTCTCCAACTTGGCGGGTTTCATCCTGGTATTGTTTCTGGGCGCGAATTTAGCCCGGAGGGAGATGATGTGGGACAGGCTCCTTCTGGTTGCCACAGGCAAGCAACAGCAACCCAGCAGCCCAGAGCTCAACGAAGGCAAACCACGCAGCATAGACCCTTTGCAAATAATGAAGGTGCATTGATATTAAATATTAACAATTAGTTTTTAGGGCAGCACTGATCATTGCTGGCTTCCTAAGGCATACATGTTCTGTTGCGACAGACTGAGTTTCAACAAATCAGTCACATTCTGTTGTTGCGGCAGCGATGGTTTGCCTCCGACAACATGCTCGGTTTGAGGCAAAACCCTTTCGTCTTCCAGACGTGCCTCTCGCGATCCAAGCTGCGGCTAATCAAAGATCAGGAAGCTGGGCAAGGAAGGATATGGAGGCAGAAACCAAGAGAGGATCCAGGATCAGTGTCTAGTGACTAGTAGGTCTAGTGCAAGGCTCGCATGAACTCGCTGTTTTGCACCAGATGGGTTGCGGTAGGTCGACCTAAACAAATAGAGTGTGGAGCGTGAGAAGGTGGTCAACATTTGTCAGCCTCTGCAATTTATGTGATGGGTTCATGATGGTTCGTGCGACATGAGCGACATACCTTGCAATGCCCCTTGTAGAACCACAGCACTTTCAGGCCTTGTTGAGCCACACGCGAGAATGCTTAAATTTGGAATTGAGGAAAGCCAGGCACATAAATCACAAATCCAAATCATTTTGTTTCCACAAATTGACAGCTTGGCTATTATTGTCTCTTGCTCACGCTGGATGCAATGCCTAAGGACTATCAGCTTGATCTGACAGAGGTGCTTGATCTGGGGGCCGTTTCGGTGCACAGAGTCTTCAATGGCTTTGTTAATGTTTGCCAGGGACACCTAAGAATCAGATCGAGGTCCCTTTATATTTTTAGGGCCACGTGAGGGTCATGTCTTCACACGCTCAGCGAACGGGCCAGGAAAATTGGAACCGCGTGAACGAAAAGCCCACTGATGTCAGTGCCGTGGCTTATGCGGCTCTTGCCTCAGGTGCTCAGTTTCACTGCCACACATGTCAGTTTTGCTGTTTTGCCCGACAAATGGAGGTGGGAAAGTAGCGGTTAAAAAATAATTCATATTTTCACTAATTCCAGTTATTGATCCTGTGAGTGCTCGTAAATATGCGGCGGTTGATCGAGGACAGCAGTTCCATTTTTGTTGATAGTCAGCCCCACGCTGTGGCTTGCTACTCCTTCATGTTGTTTCATTTGTCTATATTATTGTCCAGACCGTTGGCGCGCCCAGGTCCGCGACATTCTTCACCAGCAGAAGCAAAATGCCAACCCATTTGTCAGCATGTGAATATGAGCCAGAGCCATGACCACGAGCATCGTCTCACGTGCCGGTGACAGTGGTGGTGAAGGTTTGGGCTTTCGGAACTGAACTTCACTTTCCAAACAGGACAGGGCACCTGTGACACAAGACGTGAAGTGTGACCTTCGGACATCAAGCGACCTTCGGACACCCGGACATCTGCCAGACAAAGTGTGTTTGGCCACAGCGTGTTTGCAAAGCAAGACGCTGGGTGGCTTTCCAGCTTTGACAGCTGCAAGATTTGGGACTTTTGAGGCAGTCCAGCAAAGAAGTTTTGTATGCCCATCCGGGCAAACTGACTGAACGTGTTCTAAAGTACTCTCTCACAAAATGAGACTCACATATACTCACATGTCCTCTTGGCTCCTATCGCCAATTTGCTGTGACGTGCAAGAGGACGGTCCTGATGCTGTGATCCGGCCAAGCCTGATCACTCGCAAAGTTGCGCAGAACATGGCTGTTTGCCAACACATTGCACCACGGAGGTGTTTCAATCATTATCAATCCTAAAATCCAGCTGGTTCATTTGACCTTCCCATATATAGATTTTTGGACGTTTTTTTTTTTTTTGGTGTGTGTGTCAAGTGTCAAGGGCGTTCAGATCAACTTGAAAGTTTACAAAGTTATAAAGGTTGTAAGGATGTTTATTGACACATTGACACCATACCTATCTCAGCCTTGCCTTTTACTTTGGGGCAGCATGACGTGGGGGGTCTAGTCTGTTTAGGGCCTCTAGCTTTGCCAGGGGGACTAGCCAACACCACCGGACCTTGGCCGAATTCCGAAACCAATCTAAAACAGGTTTTGGGATGTTCTGATGGAGCATGCTTCCTTGCCAGGTTTGTTCGCTGTGGTGCATGTTCGCTCAGCCTGCCTATAGTTGCAGTTTCATCCCGTTTGTCTCTTGACCTCAGCGGCATGTAGATCAGCATGGGCGCGGTGTCACATTGACATACCTTTCGGAGTTCCATCATGTTCCATCCATTGCGGAGGTAATAGCTAGCCAACCCGGCCATCGCTATAATTCACAACACGACATCTAAAATAGGATGAAATATAACTACCATTACCTACCACATCACAGCACAAGGGTAGCACCCGAGTCAAACCAAAAACTTGGGAAACAAAGGCAGGCAGACGGACGGACTTACATTGTGTACCTGAAAGATCCTGAAAGCCCACTGGCCAATTCGGAAACAATGTTGGGAGGCCCAGGCAGAAAGCCACGAAACGCACCGTTTGGAGCAAGCAGATACATGCATCTTGTATAACATTCCATTCACTACTGACCACTTACCCTAGACCATTCTGGCTGTGAGAAAGGCGTCTGCCCGCTGCATGGTAGCGGAGCCTGCGTGGAGGATGCCCCGTAAGTAAGTCCACAAAGAGTGGCGGGGAGCACGGCATCAATCCCCATCGATGGGGGTGGGAAGCAGCGCCCATGGCATCTGAGGATGCGCCGCCGACTCCAGCTGCTGCATTCACCCTCACCAATGGCTTGCAGATGGCAGGAGGACAGCCGCAACAAACCCAACCACCAGCGCAGCAGGCAAGGGGCACCGGGCTGATCAACACGAGGGCGGTTGGGAAGCCCAAGAGCTTCAGTGGAAAAGAAGAGGGCTGGGCAGCTTGGGTTTTTGTGGCCAGAGGATACCTGGATTTGCTTGGCACCAGCTAGCAGGCTGTTTAGCTTACATGCTGGCTGACCATGATTTGCTTTGCTCACCTTTTTGCAGGGTGCAGGGGAGATTCGACATGATCATTTTAATGTGGAGAATGCAGAGAAGTGGGGATTCGGCTGGATCTTCACAGACTTAGCTTTTGCCTTTGGCATCTTGGTGTTTGTGCAGGGCATCATGTTGTGGTGGTGCCTCAAGATGCTGACAGAACACATGGCCGCAAGTAGGAGCTTGAGCTTTCCGGCAAAGCCAAAGATGGAGGAGAAAACCGCCCCATACGGACAGCGCATGTGCGCGTGGCGTTTGAAGCAGGGCACCCAAGCGTAGTTGGAGCAAGTGCTGTCCTGGCAATGGTTTGTGAAAACTACCTGTTTAGTGCTTTGCAAGTAGGGCGCAGCCGGATCCATACATACATATTGTGTAGCCCTCCTTTCACCACTTACCTTGGCCCCTTTTGGCTGTGACATAGGCGTGGCTACCCGCCACATAATCCTATTTCGATCATGATTCTGACTGTTCGCGCCGTAGCCGGCAAGAGCCGAAGGCGTGCTGCATAACATTTCCGCGCGCAGAATCGCAGAAACCCGTCGGACTTGGAGAAAGAAAAGGCAGCGTGGGCAACTTGAAAAGCGCCGTCAAAACTTCATCGGAGTGCGAGGATGCCTTCTAAAGACTTGTTGAGGGACGTTCTGGTGTGTGCACCAGCTTGTTGAGGTACGCATCGAACCTTGAGGCTTGGAACGAACACCCCACAGGCGAGGGTGGTGGAACCCAGTAGGAATTCGGAGGTTTAGGGATGAGTGGTGGGTTATCCAGCAGACATAGGCTAAACTAACCCCGGGGAGATGCAAAGGCCCTCGCATCTTTGCCCAGGGCGGCGTGAGAGCATGGTGGGGAGCTTGAGTGGCCTTTCGGCCCCTGCATGTCGGTTTGGGTTGGTCGCATGGTGGCGCGAAGGCGTTGTGAACGGTGGACTGGCACGGTGAGAAGCCGATTAGGTCATATTAGGTCGAACGTGAATTTTGCAGGGATTGAAATGTTGCGAGGTTTGCCACAGTATGCCACGGTTATAGATTTTTTTTGTTTCGGCAAGATTCATCGCATGTTTAGCCAATGGCCTGTCCTGTTGGCGATTCAGCGTAGGTGTGTTCGGAAAGACGTGGCAGCCGCTCAGCCGTCTTTTTCAACAGGTTGCAACCTGTTACACCACATAGCCACCAGTAGCAGCCAGTAGCCAGGTGCACTGCTACTGGGATTGAATTTTTTCCGTGAAGCAGCTACATATGGCAACTCATAGTTATATAATTCATATGTACAGCGCGACTTGGCCAACGGCAGCAATTGCAAAACAAGCCAGAACAGCATACGACTAGTGGCAATAAGATGCAATACAAAGAAGGGACAGTTTTAGACAAACTGGATTTGCTAGCTGGCTCTTCTTGCGAACATGAGTCGCGTGAATTGCTTATGGCTGGCATTTTTGGCCTTCTTGCCCTGTGTGCACTTGCAGCCCCTGGCCAATGAGGTCTCATTGGAATTGGTCGATTGGGAGTGTCGTCAGGTTGTAGGGCTCTTCAATTGGAACAAACTTCGTGAGATCGTGGTGGAATATGCGGACTTCGAGTCGCCCCTGGCGATGACCGAGTTCACTGAGGCTGCCTTAGTCTTGCAAGACCCGGAAGCACGGAGAACGGCCTTTCAGGAATGCCCGATCGGTGCCATTTTCTTGGCTTCTTTGAACTTGGGAATTTGCTTGCACCGAGTCATGGAGGAGGTCACCGAGTGTGAAGATGTGGCAGACTTCCTGATGGCGAGCATGTTCCGCCGGGAGATTCCCCTGGCAGTGATCTTGACCTCCTCCTGGCCGGTGAGAAGCCCGCAGAAGATGGTGTTCCTCTACGAGCGAGGAGGGAGACAAAGCTTGTTATGGTTCCATGACACCAGAGCAATGGTACTTGTGATATACTTACTTTCACATGTAAACTGTAAACTGTCATGAGCCATGAGGCATAAAGAGGCGATGACCAGCAAGTCAATGTATAACAGAAAGAATCACTAAAGGATATGATCAACTAATCAACTATCACTGACTATCACATGCTTTGGGCAAGAATTTGCCAGCCGTCATCATCCAGTGTTACTGGTCATGGGATACGCCCAAAATCCACACAAATACACACGTTTGAGATGAAACACGTGGTGATTCTGGAAGGATCTCACAACTTGAGCACTTTCTGGCACTCACTTCAGCATAGTCCCAGCTTGAACTGCGAAGATGATGAGTTCTTTGCCGGATTCTTGAAGGACCTGAATTGGGCCATTGGTCAAGGCGAATCGTTGGTGGGAAAACTCTCCAAGTGGCTATTTGCTCCAAAAGTTCAGGAACTGGAGATGGATCAATTGAGGCAAAGCAACTGGGAGCCTCCGTGTCGTCTTGGTTGGATTGCCATCATGATTCTGAAGGCAAGCATTGGCTGGCATACAGAACCTAGAACGTTTTTCACCTACGCCGAATCCTTGAGACCTTACCTCATGCTTTTGTCCCTCAGATGCACTACTTCTTTCTAGGAGTCAGTAGCTTCTAGTAAAGGAATTGGCCAGCTCAGTGGCACTTCTGTGAGCTTGGCTCTCAGGTCACCGTGGCACTTCTTGGGCTCCAGTTGGTTTTTGAGCATGCTTTTGCCTCATGTTTGTCAATTTCACCGCACCGCCTTTCATTTGGATTTTGACCAGACCGAGCTTATGGCGGAGACGCATCCCAGCCTCGCTTCGATGCTCTTGGGCTCACCAGCCATGCGCCAAAGCGCGCAGGCCGTGCTCAGCCATGCGCGGCCCTATGTCGTTCGGGGCGAGCAGAGACTTTTGGTCTATGCAAGCTATGTTTGGGGTGAAGATTATGCCACTCAATCCAGTGCTGGAACATTGGTTCACTGTGTTTTTGGGCATTCTAATTCTAGGTTCTGCTGGTGAGGTATGGACGTCGGGGTTGGTACATGTTGTCTCAGATGAAAATATACGGGACCTACACATCACTGCACGCAATGTTCAATCAACTGTGGCCTTCGGCTCCTGAATACCTAGGTGAGATGGCTTCCTGCTTACGTATCTCGATTCCATGAACTTGGCATGCACAATCTTATCATGTTCTGTGGTGATGAAACTGCCTATGAGATGTGCCGCAGGGTGGAGGGATCTGCGTGTGTTTTCTTGGAGACCAAGACGGGCCTCCACCGCTACACAATCCCTTTGGCTCTCATGAACATGGGCGTGGATGCCTTTGTTATTGATTTCGATATCTATGCCTTCAAGAATCTCACAGAAGCTTGTGCAAGAAAAGGTTCAGGTAGTACGGGCATTCCTTTCTAATTTTATAGTCAGAATGTTCCTGGATCCGTTTATCCAAATAAATTTACAAACACTTTACAACATTGCAAAACCTTTTTTCCAAACAATTTTGACAATCATTCAGAACATTCATTACAAACAAAGTTAATTTTGGAGCTCCCAAGTGGGTTCCAATTGGGTTCATGAAACACAGTTAATTTTAGGGCTCCCAAGTGGGTTCCGGGTTCATGAAACACAGCCTGTCTAAGACTACCCAAAAATACACATGCAATTGTTATAGGAATATGTAATAGATACATATACACACCATTACTCACCTGTTTCTTTTGCCTTAGGCCGGAAGAGGACGTGTCAGGAATCCCCCTGTGCGATCGAAGCTCCGAGGAAAAGTTGATCGTTGAGCTTGAAAGCTATCAAGAGACGCCCGAATTCCTCGTGGGCGGATCCTTCGGCGATGCCTGCATTTGCAATGCCTTCGCATATTACAGAACCTTGGATTTGCAAGAGGCAAAATACGTCCCACGTTCTTTCGAAGGTGGAAGACGTGGCAGTACTCTGCTTGACATAACTGAATTTAAGGAAGTACTCTGGCTGTGCGGGACTTCACGAGGACTTTGCTGGCATGGCTCTATCAGTATCCTTTCCCGCATGGGGTGACGCAGAAGGCGCTTTCTGCGTTCCTAGGCGAAGAACCAATGCAGAAAACCACCGGCTCTGAGCCATGGGTGGTGAAGGACGCGAGCTGCTCAAGATTGGTCTACACAAAGAGGATGGCACAGGTGACAGCTCACCATGATTTACCATGCATAGGTTACATGAAGCTAGAACTCATTTATGATGAGTGTAACTCATTGGAAATGACACTTCACCACTTTGCTAGAGAAAGTGCCTGAGTTGGCTTCAGGGCCCGCATCCTCAGATTGGAACACGCAAGCGTCCTGACTGCAACGCGTGTTTCCCATACTACCAATGCGCCTGAGTCATCATATCGCCCATGGGCTGGCCCCTTATGGAGCAGCTTTTCCCGAGGTGTACTAAAGATACTGAAGGTATGCTAGGGAGCCCCCATAGCTCTACATAGGTTAGCTATGACACCCTGAAGAAGTCTCCACCTCGATGCAGGAGGAGATCCTGGTGAAGCAATTGCCTCCTGTGCCGCGGCTGAAGTGGTCTTTGCTGGAGCCCGGTGTGGAGTTCTCATCCTCACGCAAGCTAGCAACCTCTGGCTGGGCAGGCCGGCAAGAAGACATCGACCCTTGGCGTGAAAACTTGGGACGCGGGTTTTTGTAGCACATGGAATTGTGTCACAGATGACTTGTGATGCGTTTGGCACAGTGGATTTATGTAGCTGATAGCTAGCCCTGAACTGAGCTGACAAGGTGGTTTATCATTTCTTCCATGGAGGGTGGTTGGCCTCCGAAAGCGCTGTAGATGCGAATGAACCTTGGGACGAATTCGACATTTTCTACAATTTGACCTGTGAGGAGTTGGGAGCAAAGAGCAGTCTTGCGTCGATGGCTATAGACACTTGAACATTTGTTTCTGAACCCTTGGAGAGGATGATGGAGAGAGAGAGAGAGAGAGAGACAGAGAGAGAGAGAGAGAGAGCGAGGGAGGGAGGGAGGGAGGGAGAGAGGGAGGGAGGGAGAGAAGGAGGGAGAGAGGAGAGAGGAGAGAGTGAGAGAGAGAGAGAGAGTGAACAATTCAAGTCTGGAACCTGTGTTGATCTTAAAACCACGGCACATGACTGGCATATGAAAAAGACTTGGACATTAGAAGACTTGGCGACTTGGCCGGAACATGTTGGATCCCTGGAGGACACCGTGGAGGCCTGTGCTGCGCGTCGCGAGGCACGCATCCGACGTCTTTTGGAGAAGTCCCGGCTGGGCGACCGACGGCCACCGACGAACATCTCCTGTGAGACCTTGGAAGTCATCGACTTTACCGTGACCCCCAGCGATGAGAAGGGCATGGACTTCACGGTGACGGCGAACAGTCCAAGCTCTGAGAATCTTTGAGAAAGGGCGTTCGAACGAGATACCGACCAGATGAGATTAGATGGACAAATATTGAACACGTTCTTGATCAATGGGACCATATGGGACCGAACGCGCAGGAGCAAATAAAGGCCGAAAGTGCCTGGAGCAGTTGTGGGGTCGCTCATGTTCGTGCCTGTTGGCCTTCAGACTTCTTGTGATCCTTTTGACCGAAAGATACCGAAAGTACTGTATAGCTGAAGGATTATTGTCAAGTGAGTCCGGGGCAGCTTTTCTGAAGAATCAGCAGGTTTGTCCCAGCACTGTACTTTGTAAGTAGGTGCTTTCAGCCTTGCTTGGGGGACTTAACTGCACCAGGATGCGCACACACACAATACACAGATGTGACCCACCCACCACTGATGTGCAGAGCCTGTATCTGTGTGACAGGACAGACTGCGGCTGCGGGTTTCGTTGGAGGGGAGAACGTCAACAAAAAGCACCAAACTGGACATGCCCGGCGCTTTCACACGTACTTCATAACTTGAATAAGGCGGAGCCTAGGCCAAGCCTCATTCAAGTCTACTGGGTGTGTGTGTCTTATTTGTATTAGTTAGGTGTCTCCTGAGCCCCACCTGTCATACCTCCCGTGTCCCATTTCTTATCATTTCTTCTCTGGACAGACTGAGGCAGCGTTGCAGATGGAGCTGCTCGACAGTGCTTGGTCAGCTCTCAGGCCTGGTCGTTTTCGGCGATGTTTTGCTGAAGAGGAGGATGCGGATGATGAAGGTACTGATTGAGATGATCAAAATCCTGATCACGAGGGGAAGGGAACAATATTATGCTCAACTTTTCTTGACCTTTGTGCCCACAGGCCTGGCGGTGTGCGGGGATGCTTGGATCATGGATTGCAAGATCCACCATCCTCAGGGGCACGACTATTGTCGTGATTTTTCCGAAGCGGGAGGAAGGTGAACCCGCTCCGGTGCTTTGAACAGGAGAGCTTTCTATCGTTTGTGTGCACTTTGCGTTTTCACGTCTTTTCATAGACCAAAGGAGTTGTATGGAGTTGTGGTGAAACCCCTTGCGCAAATCCCAGGAACAACACTTGCATATATATAGCAAGAACTGGAAGAAACCGGCCCAGCAGCCTGGAACTATCGCCGAGGCTGATTTATTCCACATGCACCCTCAACAGCATCGAGAACGAAGAGGTTGGAGTCCGCCCCCAGCGAACGTGCAAGTGCCTGCCATGTGTCCATTTGATGTTCGCAGATTTGCGAGTACTTGCTCCAGAAGAATGCCGTGCTCAGCGCCCAGGGATGAGCCTTACTTCTGTATGAAAGTCCAGCTCACTCTTCTACTTTGAATGGAGCATCGTGGAGTTAATAGGTAAGCAAGGAAAAGCACGGAAACGCATGGAAAAGCAGATAGGTTGTTTGGCAGATACTCCAGCCTCCAGGCCCCTTCAAACATCAGAGCTCGCAGGATTGGGTGGGGAGACCAAGCCTGCGCTCAAAATGCTCGGTTTCATCACATGATCAAACCTAGATGCATTTATTTTCAGACCATGGGCCCAGATTCATTGTAAGTCTGGGACGCTGTCACATGTGTAGACCTGTGTAGACCCATACAGAGAGGTAGACTTAACCCTTTGTCTTTGTTTGAGGGTGTAGTTCCCAAGGCAGAATGAATCGTTCAGCTTTGTCGTGGCAGCTTGAAGTCAGGGCGATGCCATGAGGCGAACTTGGGCTGCATGGCCATGCTTTGCGGGTGCGGGAGCCTGGAAGACCAACGATCATTTGGAAGGAAAAGCAAGGAAGGGGCGTCCTTGCTCCGTTCGTAGCGATACCCTTGTTACTAGTAGCTTCTTGTTACTAGTAGCAATGCCAGGAGCTACTAGTAGCGTCCTTGCTCCTAGTAAGGTAAGGTAAGGGCCCCTTTAACAAGGACCCTTTATGGCCCTGGAGCGCGGAAACCTCCTTGTCCGCTGAGCTTCGTCAGCGCGAGACCCGGGATGAACTGCCGGGTGCGATCAAGCCTTGAACCGCTGCACTTTTTTTCAGCTGGAACAATGCGATATCGTTGCAGCCATTTTTTCAAGAATTCGTTTGATGACTTAGTAGGACATGGAAGATGCAGAGCAGCCAAGACAAAAGAGAGCTTGGAATACAGGCACCTTGTTGGAATCTTGGAGATAACAGTTTTCTGCTCAGGGTGTTTATTGCTCAAAGACCCGCTTTCAGTGATACTTTAGCTGGCAGCTGCAATCACTGGTTCACTGCGGTGATGCAGATTGGGTGAATAGCTTCTTGTTACTAGTAGTAAGGCCAGGAGTGCCCCTAGTAGCATCCTTGCTCCTAGTAAGTAGCGATGCCGGGAGCCCCTAGTAGCTTCTTGCTAACAGGTCAGTCGATGAAACCCATTGCGTCGATGCCACTCTCGGTTTCGACCTCCTTCGCTTTCCTGTCGAAACCATGCGCCCCAAGTGGGACAGAAAGGTTCGCGTCGCGGACGGTTCGATCAGCGAAGGTGGTTGGACTCAGGTGAAACAGACCTGCCGCAATACCAACACACTTCGAACTTGGTTTTCAGTTAGACTCAATTGCCACGTTGGGAAGGAAGGTAAGGGAACGGCAAGGTGAAAGAGTCCAGTGACTTGAATTGTTGAAAAAGTGTTTCACTCACACGGCTGCAAGACGATCACGACGGCGACGCAGCTGCTGGGGAAGAGTAGGTTTAGGGGAAGTATCATGAACCACCATGGAAGCAAAACAGGAGAGATTGGAACAGCGTGGGCAAAAGTTCAAAACAGTCGCAGGTACGTGAGTCGAGCGTCCTCAACTCATATCACAGGAAACGTGCACCGTCTTCGTTGGTCGCTGACTGCACGAATCCCCAGCGACCCCCTGCCTCTGTTACAGTGGAAAGGTGAGAACGTGGAAAACCCTTAGAACCAGGGTGTGACACACACAACACGCCGTTATCGGCGCACAGTCCAAGCGGTGGAGAACACGGACCTTTTTTTCTTTCAAAAACCGCCTGCACGCATGCAGGTCGTGCCCTTTTTGGGCGTACAGGTGGACCAGGGCTTCAGCCGCAGCGGTGGCGTTAGTGAAGTAGAGTAAGGTGAAATCTTGGCTTGCAATGCAATCCCTGAGATCTGCAGTGCTGAGCATGCGTAAGCTGATCGTTGGCTAAACGGCTGCGGTTGAAAAAATAAAAATTGAAGAATGTAGCAATGCACAACACGAATGGATTTCAGAAATTTTGGGTAGAAATTCCGTCGTTTATAGCCCGGCGGCTCGAAAATCAGTTAATTCAGGGATAAAGTTGAACAAACGGAAAGGCAGTTATAAAAATGGAAGATCGGTGATTTCCGGTATGATTTCAGCGCCTCCTTTCGGAGGGTCACACCCAGTACCCAAGTGGGAAGACTGAGCGGTCCACACTTCGAACTTGGTTTTCAGTTAGACTCAATTGCCACGTTGGGAAGGAAGGTAAGGGAACGGCAAGGTGAAAGAGTCCAGTGACTTGAATTGTTGAAAAAGTGTTTCACTCACACGGCTGCAAGACGATCAAGACGGCGACGCAGCTGCTGGGGAAGAGTAGGTTTAGGGGAAGTATCATGAACCACCATGGAAGCAAAACAGGAGAGATTGGAACAGCGTGGGCAAAAGTTCAGAACAGTCGCAGGTACGTGAGTCGAGCGTCCTCAACTCATATCACAGGAAACGTGCAGCGTCTTCGTTGGTCGCTGACTGCACGAATCCCCAGCGACCCCCTGCCTCTGTTACAGTGGAAAGGTGAGAACGTGGAAAACCCTTAGAACCAGGGTGTGACACACACACACACACACACACTTCGAAGATCTTCGAAGTAGGAATTCCCAAGTAGCACTCTGTTTTTTCTCGGCCCTCGGTCATGAAAACCGCCAACTCAATCTCTTCCAGAGAAACCTTGGAACTGCCCCCCCGCAGAAATGTGCGGCCTTCGGTTTTGTGAGCCTGCAAGCTTGTCCAGGAAATTAAACATGCCATGAGAATGGATCTTCCACGATCTTCCCAACATTGCCACACACACAATCTTATCTATCGCCAGCTGGTGGCTTTAGTTCATGCCATTTGACCTCAAATTGTCACGACTATTCTTCGGCCCTACTTTTCATGGCGCAGCCCGCTCCGCGACAATGGACCCGTTTTTTGTTGCTCATTTATGTTATATATGTTGTATGTAGATTTACTGGTGCCACTACCATCCACTACCTAATCTAGGTTGGAGACCGCTCTTGTGTTGCCAAGGAGAATCTGGGGGCGCCGATGCTGGACAGCAGGCCTGACTCCGTTTTGTGAACAGCTGCACACCTTACACCTTGACACCCCGGACTGTTTGTAGCTGCTTTCTGTGCTTGTTCTTCGATGGTTTGATTTTCCTGTTTTGTTTCCGATCCTCATGTTTCACTTTGGTGGATGCACCCACGTGTGGAAACCCCCCATATCGCACACCCTGACATGTGGTCGTCGCTTGACACCCGGCCATGTTGCGTCAGGGGCAAGGTGCCCACGGAGGCACAGGGGCCGGTCCTTTTGTGGAGTTGTTTGGCGAAAGCTGACGGGAATTTCTGCCGTAGAGAAAGGACCATGAGTCAATAAGGGCTGGCTCTTGGAAAGTTGCAGCAATAGCGATTTGCCGCTTGCCTTTCTCGATTCTAGATCCCAATCAGCATGGTCGTGCAAATGAGTCCCCGGTCTACGCTTGGTTGATGTGGTTTTGCAGTCACGATGTCGGTTCCACCCTTTTTGGACTCAATCTTTTTTGGGTGAACTCTCACTGCTTCACCAGAACCTTCTTGAAAAACCGTTGCCTCCGTCATTTCCAACAATTGCCAAACATATATTAACTATGTCAAAGGTTTTTGCACAAGGACGCACACACACACACTATATAAACATGTCTAGACAAGGACTATAGCCGAAAATATTACCATCTTTGAAGGCATCACTAACGGCATAAGGGAAAGGCTCAAGCGGCACAAACCAAAACAGATCAAAACAGACAAAATATCAGGGACAACATCGAAGCAAGCATGTTTGATCCATTTGCATCATCCGCAGGAGTGCTCCAAGGTGCCGGCCACGCCGCTGGGTGACACGTGACAAGCATCGTTTCAGCGTTGAAAGGGAAAGCTTGAAGCATTGGGCGGGTTGCTGGCACCAATCCAATATTTGGCCTTCACTTGCCAACGCTTCCCATTCTAGGCAATTTGCGAAATGGAAAACGGATTCCTGTGGTATGATTTACTGCTTCAGTGCAGACGCCAGTAGACGCAATGATCAAGAGGCTTAGACAAGTGCCTTCTTGCTGCATGCTTTCTCACACCTTTCTACTCGTACCTCCCACGGAGAATAGGAGCGTGCTTGTGGGACAGCTTGCGCTGAGGCAGGGAACCACCACTTCTGCCACCTCATCGATGTCAAAGACATGCAAAGCACTCACAGTGGTGACGTTCTACACGGAGGGGCCACCGCAGGAGCGCAGTATGGTGATGGAATTGACCGCAAGGTGTGGTGTCTCCCGCGCAAGGAGACGTAAAGTACTTGGTGAAGACTGATGGAGTATAAGGTGTTTCGAGGCATTTCGTTTTCCAGGAGGATCTATATAGGTCGTTCCATTCCCTTCCAATGCCATAGCTTGTTCGGCCCCGGCCAGGATGATTGCATGCCCTTGGTGGCCGCGGTAGGGCAGCTCCAAGAGCTCTTGGCGCCGCTCGGTGCCTGGGCAGCTGCAGCAGACCGGCCGGTGAACTGCTTGGGATTTTGGGAGCTGAGGCGGTGAGGTTGAACTGCTGAGATACACACCTCGCAGCCTAGCGGACGATGAGTTCTACAGGACTTGCGGGGTAGGTAGGTGTGCTCAGTCTTACGGAAGTGAAGGCAAACAGAGCTCAAAGGTGAATCAGCAAATCAGCCAGCTTCTGTTGGGACCATTGGCGTCCAGCCTTTAATTGCAGCAGCGTGGTTTCTTCGGCTCGGCTTTTGCATGTCAAAAACTAAATTCCTTGAGGAATCATTGCTGCCCGCCAAAGAGGCGCAGCAAAACTGAACCCTATATGGAGTTGCTGCCGCACGCTCACAAGCCACCCGCTGAAGCATAGAAGCATCGAGTTTTACAGTGTACCTTTCGATTCTTTGAGGGGCTGTCACTCTCAAATTGCACAACCTCCCCGGGGTTCGGGGAGAAAAAACTTATATTTCTTTGAGGTTACCGAGCAATCAAATTTAGATCTATTTTTAATAGGGTGTGCATTGGATGCACTTCAGCAAAGGTACATGAAACACCTAGTTTTATGTCATGCAAAAAATAGATGAGGAGTCTCGGGAAGACATGGGATAGACAAGGAAGGTGGCAAACTCGCATGAAAACTTGAACCGGGCCGCTGCGGCTGTAGTTTCACTCTCAGCTGAAAGCCTCTTATCTAAAAGATCAAAGTGATCCCAAGACTAGGGACACTGGACTAAGAACAAGGTACTAAGAACATAATTTGCGCTGAGAACTTAAGGAACGCTGACACCTCCAGTGGCTACCAGCGCTGACTTCAATTTGCCAAATCAAACTTAATATATAATTGCTTCAACAATGTCAATGCTGAGCATTTAACCTGGTAGCGGGCCATGGACAAAGTGGCGTCGACTGCTAGCTTTGTTTACGAGCAGCTGCTGGCAAGTGTCACCCCTGTCCTTGAGCATGGCAGTCGCCAACAAGTGACTCGTTTTTGTTTGATTCCAATTTTTGCTTTTGTGTTGATTGACATGCTGCCAATTCAAGAGCATTCGATCCCATGCGTTGAACTATATGTAATGAGGTTGACTGCTTACGTGCTGCAATGGTTCACCTCAGTGGATTGATTCAAGACCCTTGACCTGCACTGCGCTGGGCTGGAGGGGAGACCAGTCTACAAGTCTATGTGTCCAGCATCTAGAAGACTTCAACTTCAACTAGAGCAATGTAGAGAACATTTTGGGGACTCCCATTATGTCCCATTACCCCATTATATATCCCATTACCATTATTCCCAGTGTTCCTATGATTCCTATGTAATTTTTAGTCAAACTTAAGTGGCCTCAACTCAGGCTGGGGATGTGGATTTGAAGAAGAAGGCAGCTGATGAGATGCAGCCGCATCTCATTGGAAAGAAAGGAGGCCAGAAAGCATACTCCATTTGGCAACTGGCCAAATTTGTGAACTTGCACCCTGGTCTGGTCAGAATAATAGACTGCGTTTGTCTTTGACATGTTGCTACAGGATCCAAGTGACAAAACACTGTTGCTCTTTGGGGGAAATTGGATAGGTGCCCGGTGCAGGTTGCACCTGCCTTTGGATTGAACTCAGGGTGCTCAATCTCCGGAATGCAGATGCCTTTGACTACGCGCTGAAGACCAGCATTCAAATAGCCACTGGTTCTGCAGATTCGATCGACCTGAACGACCCACTATCTGTGGCAAAGTGGGCTGCATTGGTGGGGGAGGATCGGTATAGTGCTTGTGACTATGTGTTCTTTTGCTTAGACTTGACTGACTGGACTGGACTACGCTATGCTACAACTCTACACTGACCACCACCACCACTACCACTTCCACTACGACTACTACTACTACTATTACTACTAAATACTAAATACTAAATGCTACTAGTATACTACTAGTACAATTTGTACAACTACTACTGAGTCAGTGAGATCTATGAACGATATTGCTCATGATGCAGGAGGACCACCAGGATGAGGATGAGACCATATGCGGGCCATCATCATCCACTTTTTCGAGAGCCAGGTACCGTTTGGATATTTTTATGATGATTGCCAGACGGCTTGCATGGCAAGCCAAATCTTTCAAGTCAGAATGGCTTTCTTTAAGCCACTAGGCGGTGGTCGGTGGTGGGGTTTTCTAATGGCACTGAACTGAATCTGTGACCCTGACCCTGCCCCGGATCCTGACCTGGAATACCTCACCAGCCTCAAATTCCACCTGGGCCGGCTTAGGCTTTGATGCATCTGATCAAAGGATCGAGTTCCTCATTATCGAAGAGTACAGTTCAAAGTTCCTGGGCTGCTGAATTTAGCTGAATCCCAACTGCTGTAGTAGTGTACTGCACTAGCAAAGCTTAAGGCTTAGGACCGCCTATTAGACTAGGATATAAGACCATTGCTGAACTGTCCGAGTCCGCTGTCCGCTAAAGTATACAGTATAACAGTATATTTATATCAGTATATAATGTGTAGTTTCAGTCAGCGCCCGGCGCCCGCTGCCCGCCCCTGTCTCCTCGCTTTGTGAGCTGAGGATATTGAGCGCGACCGATGCCTATTTGCAGTCCGTGGCCCAGGAGTTTGACGAGCTCAGCGATGAAGACGAATTGGATGGGGCGGGCCCCGGGCGGGCGGGCAGGCTTGCTGAGTTGCTGGATCAAGGGATGGAGTCAGAATTGACATCATCCTTGCATCTACCTCCCTTGACAACCAAGCGAAGAGTGCTCCCCATGATGGTTTTGGGTCAAGGACATGGGATTTCATGGGATCAGGGCCCTGCCAGGGATTTCATTTAGGATCTGCGGCGGTTGTGTTTGTGTTTGAGATTTGTGAGATAGGCACAGGCTGTCAGGCTGAGCCTGAAAACAGATTTCACATGTTTGTTTGAGGAGCAACAACAATGTCTTGCAAATTGGACGCTTTAGTATGGGGAATACTGCTCGAAGCTGGGTCTGACAATCGTGAAGCCTCCTTGAAAGCATACTGCGACCAGGTAATCAGTTGTGTGACTGACCAAGGAGTCTTGCCTTCTCCTGAAGTCTTTTTTGTTGTGTTAAGTTTAGTATAGTGACTAGTGTTTAGTAATGTTTAGTTTGTGTTTGTGTGCATGCGTTTATGTTTGTTGTGAGTTTGTAACGGTTGTGCTTGTCTCCGTGTCAGTGTCATTGCCCAATTAACATGAGTTGACACAAGGAACAGAAAGCGTGGTTGCCAACGCGCCATTTATATCCATAGAAGAGATTTGGGAGGAGACGGCATCTCTTTTTGACACCAGACCAATTCAGGGAGGAGGGGACAGGTTCCTATCTTTGCCTGATGAAGATGCCGTTGAGCAAAATCTATCCGCCTCCATCAAACAGAAGCTGGACTTGTATTCAGTTTTCCACCTGCCCACTCACTGCCTACTGCCTACTACCTATAGCCCAGGACCTAGTCCTAGAGGACTACTGACAAGCACACAAACCAGCCCCGCCACTGCCACCGCCCAGGCCAATTTGTCCAGCAGAAGATACTCAGGAGGCGTTGGCTTTGGCAGTTGCTGGAGGAGAGTTGATGGTGCCGGTTGACCCCAAACCAGACCAAACGGTGGACCAAGATGACCCACACCTTCTTTGTCGCAAGCTTTTTGCCAATGCCATATTGGTCCATGGAATCAAGCATGTCTGTGACAATGCTATGAAGAACATTCTGCCAGAGATGGGGTTGCCCCTAGGTCGTGTTCATGAATCACCAAAGGTTGGTTATTTGTTATTGTTTAGTCTAGTTTAGTTTTGAGTTTTTGAGTATTACTGTACTGTCTGTATATATATATATGTAGTTGTTTTGTAATGTTACATTGTTGGATGCTAGTCAACCAGCAACCCAGGTGGAAGCAACTGGTATCGGGCTTGAGATGTTTAGAAAAACTTTTGAGCAAGAAGCAAATGCGTGACCGCTTCACAGCAGTTTGTGTGGGCAGAGAGGGGGCAGCCATTGGTGATGACCAGCACTTTGCAGACTTTTCCATCAAGCTGGGAGGCCTGAGGTGGCAGGTGATCACAGAATTTTGTAACGCTGCCACTTGGTTGTCCATTGCCCCCCGTTCCCCGGTTCCCCAGTTGGATCCACACAGAACCATAGCCTCATGTCTATGTCGTTGAACGGTTGTTGATGTTGCATGTTGACTTGGGTCCTGGGCTCCTGGGTTCTAAAATGTGGGTCAGCTCGGCTTGGGTCAGGCCACCAAATAAGAGACTCCATCAAACATAGTGAGACTGACTGACAGACTGACTGACTATTCTTGAGCCATTCCTTTTAAGGTTCTGCCACTGGAGGGGCTCATTCGCAAGTATTGGAACAAGTCAACATTCATGGCCGGTTCACAAGAAAGAGCTCAACAGCAACAGGCGCATAGGCCATGGTTCATTTCAGACCAGACTTTGGAATCTTGGTACTGGTATTCAACAAACATTTTTTGTAACATACTCAAGGGGTTCACTGACCTGTGGGAAAAAGGGGATGACGTCAATTGTAAATAGTCCAACAATGTCTCAGGATCCCTGGTCTAGCGTGACAATAGATGAGATAGATGCTACAATCAGGAACCAAACCACATGGGTATGCATTGCCATTGTTGCAGACCTATCCCAAGAAGCTGATCATATTGGCAGCTGGAGTGAGGGTTGCCCTTGCCATTCAAAGAACCCAGCGCAAAGGAACCTTTATGAGAAACAGGTTGCCTCTGCCAAGCGGAAGAAACGAAGGATTGGCGAAAGAGGTTTCCAATCTCAAGAGTCGTGCCCATACCATGGCTGTCGGTCCTATGAGTTGGCCAGCGGAGAAGGTTTGGCTTCATTGAAAAACAAAATGATGTCCAATCGGCTAAAGGTCATCTTGCACTCCTCGGATATACCAAAAAAGGAAACCTTTATCAGTGATTGGGACCATGCAAGGGCGAGACTGTGGAGCAGCTCAGTTGCAATATTCGGGGAACCGGGTGCCGAAACAGGGAAACTGGTTGAGGAGTCCAGGGCGGTCAGGGCGGTACTGAGAAGTAAATAAGTACTAGGAAGTCCCATTAGTAGTAGTAGTAGTAGTAGTAGTAGTAGTAGTAGTAGTAGCGGCAGCAGCAGAAGTATGACTAATAGTAGCCAATCGTCGCTTTCGTCCTCTTCATAGTAGCAGCAGCAGCAGTAGCAGAGCAGTGGCAGCAGTAGTAAGTACTTATACTAAGCACGCGTGCTTTTGGCCCTTCTTAATTGCTTCAGCGAGCTCGTGGAGACAGACTGACAGATAGCAGGGTCGGAGTTGTGGCGGTGATTATTTTTTGTTGATGTGAAATGTGAAATGTGAA